TTGGCCACGTTGTTCGCATGTCTGGAGCCTGATAATATCGATTTGTCGGGGAGGATCGGCTCCGAGAAGGCGCCATGGCATCGCAGGACTCTGGTAGCTGAGTGTTGGAGCACCATGAGGTATAACGGCTTTGCTGGGAAATTCATCTGCAATGCTGCTGGTACCACTTTGTCGATGCTCAGGCTGTCGTAGAACTTTTCGATATCTGCCAGCAACACCGTTTCCCATGCATCCAACGCGTCTGCACACTCGTCCGTGATGAGTCTCCTTAGCGCTTCCCTCAAGCAGCTGTTGCCTGCGACTGCCGCATCCCATTCTCGCTCGTGCTCTCGCGCCCATTGTCGTACTCTGTCTCTGTGGAGTAGCTGCCAGCACCGAAACAAGTGTGGAAGAAGTGCAAGTGCTCTATCTCCTTTGTTTGGTTTTGGCATAACCATCACCACTGAAAGTAACAACTGCCACGGCCAGGTAAGATCCCGCTCGCATTGGTTAAAAAGGTTGATAAGAGTCTGCTTCCCTGCGGTGGGTAATCTTCTCAGGTCCGTCGGGCAAAGCATGTCCACTCCCTTTCCCTTGTCGGGTTCGCCTTTCAAGCACCTGATCAGGTCCTCGATGGTCCAGGGGTCGTGTTCATCGTCTTCTCGCGCAGCTCGTCTGAGTTCTTTCAAGTAACCTTCGTGTGAAGTATGTGGCACATCCGCGCATGTCCATATCTTTTGAAAATCAACAACTTTCTGGTCGACCATATCCTTCGGGCTGCATACGGTGCCGTATTCAGTATGTATATCATGCTCATGTCGGGGTGGCGGCTTAATGATCCGATGCAAAACTCCGATGGTCTTCTCTGCCTGCGCCAACCATAGACTGTACTGCTTGCTGCTGTCCCGCATGTCCTGCTTGATGGCCATCCGCTTCTCGTGTGCTGCTTGTGCTGCCATGCCCTGAAGTATATCCAGTGGAACCGTTTCAAGCGCTGCCATTCGATCTGCCCATATCTGCTGGTGGGGCATGGCGGTGTGCGAGGCTCCCTTCCCCACTGGAGGCAGTCCTTCCCGAACGAGGCGTCGCCCTGCGCTGGCAAGTGCTTCTCGCTGTTGAAGGCCTCGTCCGCGTTCTTGTAACTTGACCAGGGTGCTCAGCACGGTGTCGGCCCTGTTCCACCAGTCTGTACGATGTGCGGCATAACGTGCTCGTCGGTCTCCATTTTCTTCCAGCGGCGCTGTCTTGAATTCGTAGGGGTGTCCACGTCCGCAAAATACTGATCTGTCTGCCAAGTCCACTCTGTAAGCCATGCAATAGACTTTCTCCAGAGTGCCGATGAACTGATGATAGCGTCGCCAGAGTCGTCCAGCTCCGCGCGGGTCGGTCTTGTATGCTGCACTCTGCTTTATGCACTCGGGGGCCGTGTCAGTCGACTCCAAGGCTTGTAGTTGTGCTGCCACTTCCCAAGTATCGTCCATGATTGCGGTGTCCACCCCTGCTGCTTTGTCCGCGATCCGTTGCTCCATCGTCTGTGAGGTAGCCCTTTGAGTTTCCTTCAACCGGTCCGACGAGTTGGTCGTGGCTGAATTCGGGTCGTGCATGGTCTCATCCGTGTTCACCGCCCTTTGAGTAGTGGAAACGACAGATTGAGGTGGGGCCAAATGGAGGCTAGGTACCTTGACGACGGACTCGCCTTGCTCCTCCCTTTGGCCCCAGATATTGCCTGAATGTGTCCCCGTAGTATCCCTCGCCTCTGGTGTATCCCAAGTCCCTTCGACGTCCTCGGGCATGAGTATGTCGCTGTCCGTGCAGATAAGGTTCGCGTCCAGGTCGCCGAAGGGGTCTCTGTCATCGATATCCATTTGTGCGACTGGTCTTGGGACGGGTCCACTGGTCTCAACGTCTGCGATCGCTCCAGTCGGGTTTCGCTTCCATCCGTCTGGCCCAAGAGCATCCCATCTAACCGCGTCGGTCTCGGAGGGTACGTCATCGGAAGGGTTGGCTGTTTCGTCCAGGACTGGTAGCGATGCGTTCTTCTTCTTCTTTGCTGCTTTGCTGTTGGGGTTGGTCTTCTTCGGCAGCTTGGGGTGGGGGAAAGCTTTCGGCATGCATAATCTTCTGCATTCGTTCACCTGCGCTGCTGCCTTTATTGTAATGACCAAACCCACGTGGGGTTTCCAAGGTACATCGTGAACAATATGTATACCTCGAACAAGTCTCTGGCCTCCAGAGTTGACCAGGGCGTAGTCAATGTTCGAGGGGGTCGCGTCACCTAAGAAGCACGTGTTCTGGCCCTTCGGCAGTTGGACAACACCAGTTGCGCCCAGTGCCGTCGGCCACCCTGTCTTCTCAAGCGCGTCGAACTCGCAATTGAAGTCGCCGCAGATGATCCACGGCATGGAGGTAGTGTGGAGGAAGGCCGCGAGCGAGGTCAACTTCCTGGCGTTCACCCCGTCGACGAGGGAGGCGTTCGGGTCCAAGTAGAGGGAGATGATGAGCAGCGACGTGCCCTTCAAATGGGGCGTGACTGGCGTCCAGTCGATCATATCTATGTCGCACGGCCCGTGGTGAGTAGTCACACTCGAGGTCGTGCCTGCCCGTGCCTTGTGGCGGAAAGAGGTGGCCTTCAGGTGGCCCTTGGTGATGACAGCTGTGCCACCGCAAGTCCCCTTCTGGCTCTTCTCGCTCTGCCTGGCTGCCGTGAACACTGCTGAGAACCCTGATTTCTGCAGCTCGTATTCCACGTCATTGAGTTGTGCCTGTGCCAAGTGCGTTTCCTGCAGCGCATAAGCATCATAAGGTTGTCGAAGCCCATCGCGTCGGATCCAGCTCTTGGCCGTAGGTCCCCACGTTGATATGTTGGCGAAAAAGATCGTGCGGTCCAGGGGCTCGGCGTCGCCAACGGGTCGCCTGCCCCTCCGCGGTGGGCCCTAGCGCTGGCCTGAGCCAGCGCTTGCCCCGCCGCTGCCGCCAGCGGCCGCCTCCGCCCTCATGCGCTGCTCCAGGTAGGCGTCTGCTCCGTCGACGGGGCTGTCGTCGGGCTCGCCTGCAGGTGGGGTTGCTGCTGCTGGTGCTGGGGCCGCTGCTGGAGCTGACTGCGCCTCCTTCGCTGTTTCACCTGAGCCCGCCTTTCGCTTCTTGTAAGCCTAGGTGATCGTGGCGCGCTCCTGCTGTGCTTTCTCTTTCGCCTGCTGCAAGTGGTCCTTCAGCTGGCCCCTGAAGGTTGATGCAGTCTGTCGAAGATGCTCCAGGACCTGCTTCTTCGCTAATTCCACTTGCCGCTTTCCCTCTTCATCCATGTCCTCGTCGTACTGGAAGTGAACCTCGACCTCGGCGATCTCGATCTCCGAGGGCTGGATCAGCTCCGTGTCCGCGCTCAGCAGCTGGTCGAAGATGCTCTTCGGCTTCTCCTTGCCCTCCTGCTGAATCATCTCTATCTCCTTCTCCGCGTTCAGAACGTCGTCCGCTCTGGCCGTGAGCAGTTATGTTGCCTTCTTCGCCTTCTCGTCCGCTGACTGCTTCGCATCGAAAGCCCATTTGTACCTTCTGTTCGCGTCCTCGAGTTTCCTTGCTGCTTCTGCCAACCGAAGTGCTCGGGACTTGGGAGCCTGTGTGGGGGAACTCGCCGCTGCTTGAAGTGCCGTGGCCACACTCGTAAGCTGTTTGGCGATGCCGTCTTTGTTGTCGATCTGGAGGGTGTCCAGGGAGCTCGTCATCGTCTGCAAGGCTGTCGCGATCTGCGCGAAGCCCTGCTGGTCGGAGCCCATGGCACCGTCCGTACGGAACTGCTTGTCCTTGTCCTTGTCCTTGTCCTTGCCCTTGCCCTTGCCTCCGTTGCCGTCGCCCTTCGGCATGTCTCCTTTGGGCCTTGCAACTCGGCAGCCGCAGGAACACCAGTAGTCGCGCGACTCCATCTGCGATATCCACCACCACATTTTGCAATGCTTGCACGTCGTCCACTGGGTCGGTGCCATACTGCCGTGGTGGAGGTTCAGGAGGAGGCGGGCGTTCACTCTCTGGAGGTCCTGGCGGGCCTGGCCCCTGCGCCTTCGGAGGCGCCTGTGCCAGGCGGGGGAGCGCGACCTCGTGGGTCCGCTCGGGCAGCGCGCCGTCGGCGCTGGGGGCTCTGCAATGGCACGGGCCGCGGCGGCCGCGGGGCAAAATGCTGCGGCGTCGCGCGGCCCGCTGCGGAGCCACCTAGGAGGAGGAGGAGGAGGAGGAGGAGGAGGAGGAGGAGGAGGAGGAGGAGGAGGAGGAGGAGGAGGAGGAGGAGGAGGAGGAGGAGGAGGAGAAGGAGGAGGAGGAGGAAGAGAGGAGGAGCAGGAGGAGGAGGAGGAGGAGAAAGAGGAGAGAGGAAAAGGAGGAGGAGGAGAACGACGAGGAGGAGGAAGAGAGAGAGGAGAGGAGGAGGAGGAGGAGGAGGAGGAGGAGGAGGAGGAGGAGGAGGAGGAGGAGGAGGAGGAGGAGGAGGAGAAGGAGGGAAGAAGGAGAAGGAGGAGGAGGAGGAGGGAAAACGAGGAGAGGACGAGGAGGAGGAGGAAAAAGGGCGAGGGGAGGAAAAGAAGGAGGAGAGAGGAGGAGGAGGAGGAGGAAGAGGAGGAGGAGGAGGAGGAGGGAGGAAAGAGGAGGAGGACGAAGAGAGGAGGAGGAGGAGGAGGAGGAAGAGGAGGAGGAGGAGGAGGAGGAGGAGGAGGAGGAGGGAGGGGGAGGAGGAGGAGGAGGAGGAGGAGGAGGAGGAGGAGGAGAAGGATTTCTTCGAAGGAGCAGGAGGAAGAAGAGGAGGAGGAGAAGGGGGGAGGAGAGACAGGGAGCAAAAGGAGGAAGAGGAGGAGGAGGAGCAAAAGGAGGAAGAGGAGGAGGAGGAGGAGGAGGTGGAGGCTCCTCCGCCGCCCCTTTCAACTGGAGGAGGCTCCTCGCCCGAGGCCGCCCACCCGCCGGCTCGCCGTCCCGCTCGCGCACGCGCGCGCCAGCGCGCGCGGGCGAGGGCACAGCGCACACGAGGCGGGCCGCGGGCGCGCCTCCGTGAGGCCCGCTGGCGAGGAGGTGCGGGCGGGGCTCGCCGACGTCGCGGTGGAGGTGGCGGACGCCAAGGTCGCCGTGTGCGTCGCTGTGGTGCTGACGGAAGTCCTGGTGGCCGTTACCTCGGCGCGCCCGTCGCCATCGCCGCCGCCGTCGCCGTCACCGTCGCCGTCGCCGGTCGTGCTCGGCTGCAAGTGCGCAGCAGGGCTTGGGGAACCCGTGTGCCCGGCAGAGAGCTCGGGTAAGCTTCCCTTTTGGGCGCGTCTTCCATACGCGAGCTGGGCCCCGCTGCAGCATTCAATATTACGCTGCGTTTTGTGCGATGTTCCTCTTTCCTAATCGCGCACCGCCATGTTATCATCAAGCTGAGGGGGTCGAACGGTCTTACAGCCCCTGGGTGCGTGGCTAAAATGGGGCTCCGCGGCGCGAATTCTGCTGGTTGTTGCTGTGAGTCCTCCGTTTTTAGCCATAATTATTCGTGATTCCCCCCTGGTGCATATTGTGTTTTTGTTCGGTTGAAGTGCCCCTCCTGGTATTCGCAGCCTTGCGAACAAAAGCAAATCTTGAGGCTCAGACTGGGCTCCTTGTTACCAAGCTACAACAACAACGTCTCCCACCTGTTACTTCCCCACAATTGATTCAACATCGCGCTCTCGAGCAGCACTTCCCTACATGTAATACAGAAGTCGCACTCTGGCGTAGGATTTCCTCATTCCATTGCAACCCAGCGCTCTCGACAAGGGGAATCACGCTCTCTCTCTCTCTCTCTCTGTCGCTCTATCTCTGTTTCTTTTTTATTTTTTTTGTTATCTTTCTCTCTCTCTCTCTCTCTTCTCTCTGGACATCCTCACGGTGTACTTACAAATCGTGCTATTGTCAGCGCTCGCGACCCGCACAGGGAAGAATCCGAAGAGCAAAAATAGGACGAACAAATCTGATGGCTAGAGCAAACGACGACACTCACGACATCATCCCGCGACGCCAGAAATGAACGCGACGTCAACCGCAGAGCAAAGCGCGTGGCGCACGCGACTAAACCAATACTGCTAGCACTTGCGCGTAACTCAAGCACTAGGCCTGTACCGTAATTTCCGCGACGCGACCTGGCCGCCGCCCACCTCGGAAGGAGGATGCGCATGCGTAAAGGGGCCCTGGGACACACAAATAAATACACACAAATCCCAAGATTCCCAATCACTTCCATATTTGTTCGATTTTCGTTTTCCCCCCTCCAATTCCCAAATTTTCGCAGATTTTCCTGGGAGTTGATGATTCTTTGTGTCTGTCTGTTTTTCCCTCCTGAATATGGCCCCGGCCAGGTGACCCGCCGGCTCCAGGAGGGGTCTGCAAGGCCCCCCGATAGTGGCATCCAGGAGGGCCCTCTGGATGCCACTGCCGAAGGACCAGTGAAAGCCCCCAAACAAAGCCCCCCAAACTAAAGGGGCCCAGAGACACACAAATGAATAGACACAAATCCCAGGAGTCCCCATATTTTCCTATATTTGTTTGGTTTGTGTTTTCCCCCCACTTCAAATCTTTTCCCATATTCTTGTGGGAATCGACAATTCATTGTGTCTGTGTGTTTTCCCCCATCCTGAAAAGCGGCTCAGGAGCCCCCAGCGCGGGTCTGCAAGGCTCCATGAGTGAGAGCCCTCGCACGGCCGCAAGGGGGGCTCCAACACAGGATCCACTGAACTCCAGGACCAAGTCCGCCGTCCAAGTCCGCCTGGCGGACTTGGAAGCGATAGCTCCTCGTGCCTCTGCGGGGTCATTCGGAGACCCCAGGACGGCTTCGGGCACCAGGAATGCCCCAAGAGAGCCCCCAGGGGACCCCAAGAGGGCTCCCACTAAACCCCTGGCCAAACTTAGCCCGACGGAGTCTGCGGCGAAATCTTACGGCGCCCTCTTGGGCACCGCTCGGAGCCTCAAAATGATCCGCTCAAAAGGACCCAAAGGCCTCAGCGAATCCGTGGCCCAACTCCGCCTGACGGAGTTTCAATCAATGGTTTGCAACGGGGCGCCGTCAGGAGCCCCCACTGGCAGATCCAAGCCGCAACCACAACACATCCCGAATCGACCTTCCCTCTTCTTCCTCCATCTCCTGCGTGCTTCCACTCTCCTTCGCCGCTACCCCAACCCGTGCGCCCGCGGCGCGGCGCCACTCGAGGCCCCGGGGCGCCGGCGACGGCGCCGCCGCGCGCATCCGACGAGAGCCACCGCGAACATTGAAAGCTTAAAGAAGCCGGTCCGCCGCTGCGACGAGAAAACAACTCGTCCATGCTTCGTTGATCCATTCTTCGTCTTCCTCCCTTCACTCCGCCCTCTATACCGCCGCAATCACCAAGCGCGCCGGCAGCCCCTTCTGGCCGCCCAGCCCCCCAAAACTCACGCTCACGTTCCAATGTTCGAGCACTTCGGGGAAAAACAAATGGCATAAACATAAAGACTCGGACGTCCGCGCGGATTTCTTGGATCCGCGCTGGACCCCCCCCCCTGGCGCGCGGAGCGCGCCAGGGGCGGCGCCGGAGGCGCCGCCAGGGGGCCCCGGCGCGGATCCAAGAAATCCGCGCGGACCTCCGAGTTCTTATGTTTCTGTCATTTGTCGTTCCCCTAGATGTGTCACAGGACTATGGACACATGGATGGAGCCGTTACGCCTGAATGGGTCTCGGATTAAGCGGGATTACTAAGCGAGATTCGGCTGGATTAATCCAGATTAAACGGGATTCGGCTGGAGTAAGCCGGATTTCGGACTAGGGCGAAAACAGAATTTGACCTCCCAAGAGATGCATCCGAACTTATTGGACGCACAGGGACATACTGATATTATACGTCCTCCCTGGAGGCGCGCGTCCGACCCGAACATGTAGTATGCCCATCTTGCAGTAGATCGTTTCCCGAGCGGCGTGGCCAGAAAACGCACGCCGCGACGCATATACTGTGAGACTTCTCGGTGCGCGCGTCGCCCCTAGGGAGGCGACGCACATATAGTATAGGTATGTTGGGGTGACGCCGACATTACAGGACTGATCAAGTGCCGATAAGGAGATTGAGGGAGCAACCATCCGTCTCCATCCAATGAAAAACTTCAATCGGTCCCACCATCCATCGGCCTTGCCATCTGTCTATCGATCAAGCGATCCACATGTTCGTCGATGTACCGATGAACTTATCTATCACTCACTATCAACCTCACTATGGATTTCTAGACCTCGTTTGCATATATCACTATCTATACAGCAATTGCTCTATCGACCGATTCCCCTGCCAACCTCACTGTCGATGGATCGATCCTCCCACATATATCTGTATATATATATATATACACCGAGATCACTACCTGTATGTCGACCTCTCCATCTATCTGTATGTATATATATACACAAACATAAGCAGTGATCATATCAATGTTTGTACTTCGGGGTTCTTGCTTCTGTAAAGAACTGGGACTGCGGGCCCGTCTGGCGGCTCCGTGATCGTCGTCGCCGACCCGTCGCCGCCTCGTCGACCCCTCCCGTCTGGGCCGGTCTGGCGGTTCCGTGCTCGCCGTCGCCGCCGCGTCGCCGCCTCGTCGCCGCCCGTCGTATCTGCCTTGGTGGCAGTCTGGCCCGCGGCTCCGTGCTCGCCGTCGCCGCCCCGTCGCCGCCTCGTCTGGGCCTTGGTGGCGGTTTCCCGTCGCGTCACCGTCGCCGCCCCGTCGCCGCCTCGCACAGACTGCGCCCCATAGCATGCACCGCATCGCTTGTACCACGTAGGCTGCATCACATACTTTGCGCCGCATCTATTGTACCACTTGGATTGCGCCACGCAGATTCTCTTCTAACAAAAAATTTGGCTCTACCACCCGCCACCCCCTGGACTTAAAGGTCCCCCTTTTTTCGTATTGCAATGTACATCCGATTCTGCCCCATCGTCCATCCTAAATTTGACTTTACCCTATCCCAACGCGGTCGGTATCGCCCCCCCCCGCCATCCTCTGCAACAGAAGTGTGCGCGCACACTCGTTTATCAACGCGCGCGCATGCATATTTTTTTCCAAAAACCTCTTGATTCCGGAAAGATTTCGAAACCGAGTGACAAAAAAACACCAAACATTTTTGAATATAAAAAAGGGTTTCGCAACGCGTGTTGTCAAACCAAAAAAACATGCGCGCCCGATCTTGCGATTTTTTGTCTTACCTACACTTATCAAACCTTTCAAAAAATCATACCAGTCGGGTTTCGCGCGCGCATGCCGAAATCGTTCGAATGCCTTGCGCGCGCGCCGTCGCAAGATACCGCTGCAACGCATGAAACGAAATTCACGCGCGCGCGTCGTCGCGCGCGCAAGCCGAGATCCTTCCAAAACCGCTGGGTTCGGAAAAAAATCAAAATCGAATGTCCAGAAAATACAACAACACAGCGTTTCGCAACGCGGATGTTCAACAAAAGCGTGCGCGAACGCTTTTGCGAATTTTTAAGAAACCAGCGTGTTTTCCGAATTGTGATAAGTGCTATCAAACGGGGCTTTCGCGCGCGTATGTCGAAATCGTTCGAACGCCCTTTCCGCGCATGCTGGGGAAGCACGACCTGTGTCAAATAATACCATGCGAGCCACTCCCGCGCGCCTGCCGCGCGCGCATGTCCAACTCCTTCCAAAACCGTCATCACCGACGCGAAAACGCCGTCATCGTCGTCGGCGCGATCAGCATCTGCGCCGTCACTGGCTGCACCGTCGTCGCTGTCAGCATCGCCACCAACATCGCTACTATCATCATCGTGTCTTCCGTTGTCGACGTTGCCATGATACCGCGCCAGCCCAAGTCGCCGACTCGCACTGACCTGCCCGCCGGGATGTGCCGAGCGGCCAGCGCCACCGCGTTCGCGTCGGTCGCGCCAAACTACCCGGCCGCTGCGCACGCGAGCATGCGCGGGCTAGCGCGGCCGCAAAAATGCACCAGCCAACACCAAGCACTCATCGCAATCCTGTCCGCATGGGTTTGCAAACCAAGTTGCGGGTGGGTGGGCGGGATGTTTGCGCAAGCAGTGGAGTGGACAGCTTCACGTCGAGAGCTGGTGAAGTACACAACATAGAACGCACCACGTGGATTGCACCACATAGATTGCATAACGTAGGTCGCACC